AACCAACTTGAAAACTGTGCAAAACATTTAATTATATGCTTAGATTCGGCATATCACAGGATCCCAAAAATTAGTTATTGTTAAAATCAAACTAAGTTTAATTTTGAATACTTTGGACCTTAATGTGGACCTATTTGAAAAACGGGCACCAAAATCAAAAATTTAAAACACTCTTAGGTTACACACATTAAAGAACATCAATAATTTAAATGTTTGATGAAATCAAACAAAGTTTAATTTTGGACCCCAATTTGGACCAACATTGTAAACCAAGCCCAAAATCAAAAATCTAAAACATGTTGGATTGGGCATATCAAATAACACCAATAATTAAATTTTTGATGAAATCAAACAAAGTTCAAATTTGAACCCCAATTTGGACCAGCTTGAATACTGTGCCCAAAATCAAAATTCTAAATACCCGCTTAGATATAGCATATCAAAGAACCCCAACTATTATTTTTTTCTTAAATCAAACAAAGTTAAAATTTTGGACCCTTTGGACCTTTATGTTGACCAATTTGAAAACAGGCCCAAAAATTTAAAATCAAGATGCATGGTTAGATTCAGAATATCAAAGAACACCAATAATTCATTTTTTTTAAGAAATCAAGCAAACTTTAATTTTGGACCCCTTGAACCTTAATATGGATCAATTCAAAAACATGTTTAGATTCAGCATATCAAAGAACACCAATAATTCCATTTTTAAAGAAATCAAGCAAAGTTTAAATCCAAATAATAAATACCCAATTAGATTCAGCATATTAAAGAACCCCAAGAATTCAAGACTTTGAATTAAACCCCATTGAAATTGCTAAAGAAATAAGCAATTTAAAAATAATATTTTTTTTATTAAGATGTTACATAACAAAATGTATGGCACAATTGTATTTAAAAACTTCACTTACCTACACTTCCACTTTAACAGATGGACCAAGGTTTATTTTAATTTCCAAGGGAATTTTCAACCATAAGAAAATATTCAAACATGTTAACAATCTTTAAATAGAACATAATGCATTCACAAATATCACCAAAATTAATATATCTGAATCAGCAAATGACTCAATTTAAAATTTCGTTAATGTGCAATAAATCTATAAATGTAGAACTTGATTAAATATTTAATATCTCAACCCTCCTATTGTGGTATGGAACCTTGTGCTAACATTTCTAACACATTTATACACTTATACTAAAGTTATTGTCTGCGAACCAATTTATTTTCCATGAACCAGTGATGTAAACGCCAAAAATAGTTCTCTTAAATTAGATATAATGTTATATCTATTTTCAACTATGACCCAACTTTAAATTTCTGTTAATTGTGCAATAACATCTCTGAATTTAGATTCTGAGCAAATATGTAATAATAGCATAGTTTCTGACACAGAATGAATGTAGTATAAGTTCTTAAATAATTTTTAAATTGGAAATTTTCCAATTATGGTCCAATATTCAAATCCTAAATACATGGCTGGATTCATATCAGATAACCACATTGTTTCATTTTTTGTTAAAATCAAACTTAGTTTTATATTGGATATTTTGGACCTTTATGGGGTCCAGTTTGAAAAAAGGGCCCAAAATCAACAATTTAAGACACTGTTAGATTGTACATCAATGATTTAACAAAGTTTAATTTTGGACCCAAATTTTGACCAACTTTGAAAACCAAGCACAAAATCAAAAAATCTAAAAAATGTTGAATTGACCATATCAAATAACACAAACAATTTAATTTTTTAAGAAATCAAACAATGTTCAATTTTGGACCCCAATTTGGTCTATCTTGAATACTGTGCCCAAAATCAAAAATCTAAATACACGCTTAGATTCAGCATATCAAAGAACCCTCACCATTCTTTTTTATAAAATCAAACAAAGGTTAATTTCGGACCCTTTGGACCTTAATACGGACCGGTCATGCCCCAAATAAAAAATCTATATACACGCTTATATTCAGCATATCAAAAAATCCAAGTATTTGCTGGTTTTTTTTTAATAAAAAAAAAGTTGTATTTTGGACCCTTTTGACCTTTATGTGGACCAATTTAAAGACAGGTCTCAAAATAAGAAAAATCTGAATACACAATTAGATTGAGCACATAAAGGAACACCATAAATTTAATTCTTAAACAAAGTTTAATTTTGGACCCTTTGGACCTTAATAGGAATCATTTCAAAAACGAACCCTAAATTCCATAATTACCCAATTAGATTCAGCATATCAAAGACTCCCAAGAATTCAAGACTTTTGAATTAAACCCCATTGAAATTGCTAAAGAAATAAGCAACTTATACAAAGCTCTTTTAACTAAACCAATAGGGTCATAACCCCTAAATCAATCCCAAACTTTATTTTATTTAATAACACCTTGTGGCACAATTAAATAGTAATAAATATACTTATACTCAAGGTATTGTCTAGAAATCAAAAAATCTTGGTTTTTTTTGCCCCTTTTCATCCCCTTATTATTAAACAGTTTGAACGATGACCCCTAAAATCAATCCCAACTTTCCTTTTGAAGTATGGAACCTTGTAGTAAAATTTCATAGAAATCCATACTCTAATACACAAATTAGTGTCATGAAACATGACAAATGCTTGTTTTTGACCCCTTTTTGGCCCTTAATTACTAAAGAGCTACAACAAAAACCCTCAAAATAAATCCTAAACTTCCTATTGTGGTATTGAATCTTGTGCTTTAATTTAATAGAGATCGATACAGTAATACTCAAGTTATTGTCTGTGAACAATACAAATAATTGTTTTTGTTAGGTCCTTTTTGGCCCCTTATTCCTAAACAACTACTATAATAACGCCCAAAATAACCCCCAACCTTCCTATAGTGGTATGGGACCTTGTGCTAAAATTGAATAGAGATCCATTCACTTATACTCAAGTTATTGCCTGCAAACCAGATAAAAGTTTGTTTTCTGCCCCTTTTCGACCCCTGATAATTAAACTGTATGGGCCATGACCCCCCAAAAATCAATCAAAACTTTCCTTTTGAAGTATGGAACCTTGTGGTAAAATTTCATAGAAATTTATACTCTTATACACCAATTATTGTCCTGAAACATGAAAAATGTTTGTTTTCGTCCCTTTTTTTGGCCCCTAATTACTAAACAGCTACGACAATAACCCCCAAAATAAATCCCAACCTCCCTATTGTGGTATAGAACCTTGTGCTAAAATTTAATACAAATCCATATACTTATACTCAAGTTATTGTCTGTGAACCTGACAAAACAATTGTTTTTCTTAGACCCTTTTGGCCCCTAATTCCTAAACAGCTATGAAACCCCAAAATAAATTCCAACCTCCTTATAGTGGTGTGGAACCTTGTGCTACAATTTTGACCAGAGAAATATCTCTTATACTCAAGTTATTGTCTTAAAACCAGACAAATAATTATTTTTGGCCCCTCTCTGGCCCTTAATTACACAACAGCTACGACAATAACCCACAAAATCAATCCCAATCCTCCTATTGTAGTATGGAACCTTGTGCTAAAATTTCTTAAACATCCATACACTTATACTAAAATTATTGTCTGCGAACCAATTTATTTTCAATGAACCGGTAAAACTGACTTTTTTGGCCCATAATTACAAAACCGCTAGGACAATAGCCCTCAAAAACAATCCTAACCATCCTTTAGTGGTATAGAACCTTGTGCTAAAATTTCATAGAGATCCATGAACTTATACTCAAGTTATTGTCTGCGAATCAAAAATGTCTTCAGACGCGGACAACACCATAACATAATACGAACGCAAATAAATTTGCGGTCGTATAAAAAGTTACACGTATTGCCGGAATGCTAGGTTGGGTTAGGAACCGATTAATTAAGAACATAACAATAATATTTAAAAGTAATCGTATTGAGTGGCTTTTGCAAAACCTTTCGGAATTTTAGATCCTCAATGCTCTATTAAATTCACATCAAAAATGGGTCGCCTGATATACAGTACAGACTAAAGTAAAGTAAAGCTCTTGAACTCCATACTTTATTCGGCCTTTTATACCCGTTTTATAAGAGTGACAGTGATGACTAGATAATTTTACTAATCCATGTTTCAATACAGGAATTGTTAAGAGTTTAATGATTGTTTATAATACGTATTCTAATCCCCTGACATGCATACTTGTTATTATACATTGTGACCCAAATTGAACAATGTCCTTTTTTCAACCTCTGCCATAAGGGGTAAGGGTAGTATTTTCCTTTTTTCTCGAATCTCTCTGGCTGGTATGATTCAAATTTGTAGATAAGGGGGAAAATGTTGTATATTATTCTGCATTTTATTTTCAATTTCCCACTTATAACAGCATATTTGCCTCGAACAATAAAAAAAAAATGCAACACAAAAATCTGATATCTAAAAATTTCCCACTTCCTTCATTTTTTACTTTGAAAATTCCCACAACCTTGCATAATTCATCCATTTATAAACATCCTACATCCTGTTTGAAAAGAATGAAAAATCATAGATTCTATTGAGTTTGATCAGTTTCATATTTCAGTTGAAATTTTTGTTACAATTGTAATTTAATAAATCGTAAACATTTCACCAAAAATAAACTAAGTGTATATAGGGATTCTCATAGTCATTATGATATAGGGTGGCATTAGAAAGCCAAAAATCTTTTATCAATTGTATGATTGTACGTATCAATTTTTATTAATAGGTACAAATTTCAACTGAAGGTGTACTTTCTTTTATTTACAGAGTAAAAATTTACTTTGCATTAAATGTATAGAGATTAAGAAATCTAAGTATGAGGAAATATCATGATAATTATGCATCTATGTTCATATCTAATTAAATTCGAAAATATGAACAATTGAAATAAATATAATATGAAAACAAAATGTTCATCAATTATCCAAATGCAAAGTTGATAAAGACAGCTTTATCACAAATGAAGGGTTTTCAATCAAGACAACACATTTAATACAGAAATAGTAGAGATTTATCTTCCCCTGTCAATGCACTGAGATGAATAACATGAATTATGTTGAGCTAATGCAGTAGGTATGCAAAATGCATGTCACATGTATTGTGTGTCTATGCAATCAATATGACAAATATGATTTTACTAAAACAGTATATGGTGTATAGCAGGTATATGCAAATCAAACAGGTGCACATGCTTCTTAATTAGCATATAAATACAGATTTGAAATCTAAGTCAATGGGCGTATATCTCTGACTAGTACTTGAAAGATATAAAAAGAAATTTTACTTTCAAAACTAGATAAAAAAAAAAGCTTTGAATTTGAGCAATTATAGAATAACCAGGAAATCTTTGACACGAAAAGGTAAAATCTTGTCGCAGACATAAATTGTAAAAGTCAGAAAAAACAAAGTAGCACCTGATATGTTCGAGAAATTCAAGTCTTGCACTCTTGTCGGTATTCCGTTTTGTTCTCTCACCTTTTCAACTTTCAAAATATTAAAAAATTGTCATTTAAGGTACAATTCTACTTATTTTTTACTCATAACACACTTTTCGTCATAATAAGACTATTAGATAAAAAAGATATGAAAATATCCCGGTCATTATAGCAACCACATGAAACTGTGAAATGTAAACAAATGACATTGCTTGTTCACGAAAAACTGAATTAACACCTTTAAATGTACACTTGTATTTTGAAGAAATAAAAATACTTCTCAAGTACATGTATCAAACCTTGACCTATATTCAACACATGTATTGAATAATACCCTTCATATAATCGTTTGCTTCAATGCACAATACAACACATGATATTTAACATCAATTGTCGATCTTAAGAGACACTCACCACTAATAACAAAGCACATTAGTCTATTATTCTGAAAGAATATATCCTTAAACAAAATATATAGTGAGTCCTTTTTTCATGAATCCAAACAACAGATATTAGTATATAGGGCATATCTTAGTTCTATTTGATAAGTCAAATTAGGATCACTTAGGATAACTGCTTCTCCATTATCAAATTTTAATTGCAAATGTCAGTGACTCTGTTCTTTTTTGAAAATGTTTTTTTTTTTTATGGAAGACAAAGTTATATTTACATATAAGTTACCAGCAAAAAGGTGCAGATTCTGGTAATTAAACCAGAAAAAGAAGATATAATACAGGATTCATACTGATAAATAGATGCAAGTAAGATTTCATTCCAAATCATCAACCCTCAGTTTTAGTTTGTAACCCGGATTTGTTTTGTTTTTTTTCAATCGATTAACCAAGTCAGGAAAATGGTTATATTGTTATATTATAGTTCGTTTCTGTGTGTGCTACATTTTTAATGTATTTTTCTGTTGTGTCGTAGTTCTCCTCTTATACTTGATGTGTTCCCTCAGTTTTAGTTTGTAACCCGGATTTGTTTTTTTCTCAATCGATTTATGAATTTCGAACAGCGGTATACTACTGTTGTTTTTATTCTACAACATCTTCTGATAGTTTTACTGCATCTGGAAATTTTGAGATAATAACTCATTTCCTGTTTTATCAAAACTATTTGCTCTTTCCGAACAAGAGAAAAGATAAATTATTTATTTATTGCTTCTATGTAAATTAGATGTAATCGTCTCATATCTGATGGGCTATGGCCCCTTAGATATAAGAAGTTTACATCTTATATTTGTTGATATTTACACATGTTAAAAGAGTGTGCATTCGTTTTTGTATTTTAAAGTATCATGTTTCAAAAGTTCATCTACGATTGCACTTTACTGATGTCAACAAAGGCCAGCTTGTAGAAGAGTCACCAGTTTTCCTGGCGATGCTGACCGGAAACTTTAAATAAAATGACACTAGAGAAATAGAACTTCTCGATAAAGACCCAACAGCATTTAGCCATTTTCTCAGACATACATTACCTGGTTTTAAAGATTAATATTGCCTGGTAATCTTATACTTGATAAGAATTTTTAAAAATATTGAATTGCGTTGTAAGTTTTATAATTGTATCTGGTTACGTTTTATGACTTTTTAAGATGTATTCACAAGTTGAATTGTATTTAAATACCCACACCCTTTCTTAATTGTTGTGAAGATATCACAATTGTTTATAGATATCAATTTTTAGACACCATCTAATGAACCATCTAGGTGACCTCCGAAGACTGCCGACGGTCATATAACCGCTATGAACATAAATATCAATATAAATAGATAGCAAAAACGTGCAATTGGATTTGTCTAGGTCTGTTTTATTTCATATTATAGCTAGGTTAAAAAAATGTGTTAATCATCGGTTTTACATGTATAAGAATGAGGTTTTGTAGGTCAGATCAGTCAAGTAAATGGTTTACCCTTGTTTCACTTTCAATGTTCACACTATTTTCCTTTAAATAGCTGAACACGCCTAGTTGATGCGTAACCCATCTCTAGCTATAGAAGGTCACATGAATACGGGTTCAATGAGGTCGAATTATTCACTTGTAAGTGAATAATTTATCAGCGATGTTTCTTAGCTAATTTTGACAAAATTTAACCAAACTGGCTGCCTAAAACGAATTATCATTTCCCCATTTCACTTTCATTAACTATGAAAAGAAAAAAAATCATATATTTTTTTTTATATCATTTTTTATAAATGCCCCTGAAATTTATGATGTGCAATAATAAAGCACAGCCACTCAGATACAGGCATTTCTATGATTTCTTATAAGCAAAATGGTGCTATTATTTCAATTTTCAAGTTAGTCGTATCCTTGCCCATTTGATTTAGTTTACTAGTCTTCATATTTTTTAAATGATGGTTACTTCAGTTAAACATAACCTCCCTCCCTCGCTTAGTGTTATTGCTTTTTACATTTACTTTTAATGTTACAACAGTTGAAATATTTAATGATTCTTTGTTTTTTATAAAACCAGGTTAGTCACTAGCATTTTCTTTCCTTACAGCCTGAACTATATAAGAATATAACTTTTTCGTTTTACGATAAACCCTTTATCATGCATATGAAATTATTGTTATTTTTCAGAAAAGGACATGAGTAACAGACTAAAACGACATTGTTAAAAATCGACGAGGCTTTGGCGAAGAGCTTGAACGGAAAGGAATACAAAAATACAAATGAGCTAATTGACGAGATTTTAGAAGCTGAATTGTATGAACGACCAAGATATTTACAAGCATGTACCAAGAAGGAATATACACACTCTTACAGGGAACCTTTAAATGCACCAAAATTTCCTTATAAATCAAGTGATACCAAATTCACCGTTTTGTCGAAGAGATGGGAAAAGTTGGAGTCGGTGAAAAGAGAATATCTGCAGAATATAGAAAATATTACGATGGGTCTATGTTACAAGTGTAAAATAGAAAAAAAAAGTCGTATTATCGAAGCAGCAAATAGCTTACTAGGCAAATAAACAAAGCAAATGGCCTGTTGTTTTCAAATAAATTGTTTGTTTTAAATTGACCAATCAAAGCCAATAAAAGCCAAAGCTACATGTTTACCTAGCTTATATTTTGCATGTCATACACTTGTTTTGTCTACTATACGAACGTCACCGGTGATTGAATCATTACAGAAATATAAGGCAAAATAAATTAATTAGTTGAAGAGTAATGAAACTTATAAAGGAAGGGAAAATCTTATGAACTGATTTTAGTTGGATTAAAATATAATAAAAACAAAAATGTATCCATAGTACACGGATGCCCCACTTTCACTATCATTTTCCTTGAAATTGGGGTCAAAACTCTAATTTGGCATTAAAATTAGAAAGATCACATCATAGGGAATATGTGTACTAAGTTGCAATTTGATTGGACTTCAACTTCATCAAAAACTACCTTGACCAAAAACTTTAACCTGAAGCGGGACAGACGGACTAACGGAGAGACGAACAAACGAACGAACGAACGGACGCACAGACCGAAAAACATAATGCCCCTGTACTATCGTAGGTGGGTCATAACAATTGGTTTTATCTAACAATAGTATTAAAATAGGCTGTGATTACTTCTGTCAATAGTATTAAACAAGAGGCTTTCAAGTGACAGCAAACCGGATTTTCCGCCAGAGGTCGAACCCTGAACAGTTGAGCAAGTATGGACACAATATTTAAGCTTAAAACAGCTCTGAATTTGGATTGTGATTGAATATTTAAAATAGATAATTATATTATCTAATTTATAATGAAAATGATACTTGCTAATCTGAACCCCAAACAGGATCATGTAAAATTTTACATTAACACACATAACAAAAATAAAATACCACATAACAACTATGACATATCTTCATAACACACATTACTTAAAACAAATAGTTATAAAGAAGCTTTGATGTTATCATTACTGGTTCGTGGAATAAGTTTGAGTTATTTCCCTTTGAACAGAAATATGGTTTAACATAGTACTCTAACATTAGATATGATTTAATCACTAAAAATAGTTCTCTAAAATTAAACACAGTGTATATTTTCAAATTATAATCAAATATAATTAATAGTCCAAATATTTTTCTTTCATTTGTCACAAACTAATATAGATCTGCAACTTATCTATCAATGTGATCAACTTTAAATGTAATGAAATATATCTTTTAATTTTATAAAATTATCAATTCACAACAGTTTCATGCAAATTGGTGAAAGCGTTGAAGAGTTGGTGAACAAAGCATTTTTAGAGTTAATGGGCGTTAACATGAAAAAATCCCCCTTTTTTAATGAATAAAACCTCACATTTTGAAAATGTATATTATAAAATTCCTAAAAATCTAAAAGGGAGCTCACGTCAGTAGATAATTATAATCAATTCACCAGAGTTTCATGCAAATTGGTGAAAATAATACTGAGTTAGTGAACAACATGCTAGAAAAAGACAGATCAGGGAAGACAGACGGACAAAGGCAAACCATAATATTTCTCATGAACAGGCGTATGAAAACTGCAGGGTACCATTCCAGGCCAACACCCTCTGAAGGAAACACTATAACGGAGCTTCCTTTCCATTTTTATGGGGGAAAAAGGGGTAGTGGTGGTGGTTGAGGGGGGGGGGGGGGGTGGCAGGCTAGGATGAAAAATTTTGTCCTGCATTTTTTTTTTTTAGTTCGAGATGTAATCTGTCCTGCCTTTTTATTTTTCACTCTTTTTTGTCCTGCCTTTTTTTCTATTAGTTTATCCCGACTGTTTTTACATAAATTGTCATCCTGCATTTTTTTTTCATATTGTCTCATCCTGCCTTTTTTTCAAATTTCATCCTAGACCCCCCCTCCCCCTAAAAATCAAATGGTAGCTCCCTAAGTTAGCAAACAAATTATTTTATTTTTACATTGACAAACCTGTATGACCTTGAAGCAGTATTAAGTTCATGTATTATCCTGCATATTATTACATGTACATTGAACTAAAACAAATTGTGGTCATTGTTAAAATTATAGTTTACAGTTTACTTTTCCAATGCTTTCAATTTTAAGATTAGGGCATTTTTGTCATTGGAATTGAGTTTTGTAGTCGGAGATTACTCTAACCTCCAACGACTGTTTTGAGACACCAGCTAGGGCAGTGGGACTTCAGCTGGTCCCATATCAGATAGATGATATTTGCCCATCCAAAGTGGAGGCGACTGGATTCATATAAATCAAGCCTCAATTTATTCATTTTTCTCTTCATATAAGTAAGTTTGATCAACCTGCCACCCGTTATCTTTTCATATTTGAACAGTTTTCACATTGACCCATCAATACTGACATTTTAGAGGGTATGAATGCCCTTTACCGTCAGGCGTCAAACGGTCATTTTCGGCTACCGTTAGCATCAAATTGGTTAACATTTTACCGTGATTCGTCAACATATCCTTATCGTGATTCGTCAGAGGTCTCAAATAATTATCGTTACAGTTATTTTTGGGAAAAAATTAACGTGATTCGTCAAAATCTGTCGATTTTTTTTATCGTCTTGAAGAAAGTCTTCATTTTATCGTCATGCAACAAAAATAACTGTTAACGTCATTTGGCAAGATTTTTTACCGTTATTCGTCATGAAGATACCCCCATTACCACCCTCATTTTAACTTTCACTTTATAAGAATGTCACATGACCAATATTATGGGAACTGATTTATGCAAATGACCCATATTCCATAGGAAAACATAATCTATATAAATCGAGCCTCAATTAGTTCATTTTTCTCTTCATTTAAGTAAGTGTAATCGACCTGCCACCCGCTATTTTCTCATATTTGGACAGTTTTCACATTGACACATCAATACTGGCATTTTTACTTTAACTTTAAAAGATTGTCACATGACCAACAGAAAAAGTAATTTACAATTTATTACATGTATGAGAACTGATTTATGAAAATGACCCTTATTCAATAGGAAAACATAATCTAACACCTCGTTCATTTATGATGCAAATAAGCTGAATGGCCGAGTGTGTATAATTTGAAAATAAAGAGTCAAAATGCGGAATCGCAAAAACAGATGTTGGACATCAGAGTAATCTCGGACTATGAGTTTTGGGCAATTTGTAAGGGGGGAGGGTTCAAGGGAAGCAAATGCTCTTTAAATTATGCATGTTTCAAAAATTGGGGAAAAATTACACAGAGAGTTGAGTCATTTTTTTTCAGACTAAAAGAATGACTAATGTATACTTACCTTCTAATTCTATAAAAAAAATTCACAACTAAATATAAATGTAATTAAATGTAAATAACTTTGAGAAGACTTGCTGCCTTGCCCGGCACTGCGCTAAGTTTTTTGCGGGACCATACACATTCAATATGAATTCGGTTCCTTACTTGGAAGAAGAAGAAGAAGAACTACTGAACAGGAACAATCATGGTACTTTTTTGTCTATGAAACTACACTATGACATCTGATCTGCAAAACCTACAAACAGACACAGAAATATCATCAAATAGTGAAATATAAGATTGATTGCACCTTGTATGGATAGTTCCGACACGTGTTACATGGGGAGCCCGTTTGTTTACAAATAATGTCACGTGATCACGCACTGACCGTCACAAATTTTTATCCTCCGCCATTATTCTTATTACACAATATTACTGTACTTACACAATTCACAAATGCATAACCCATTTATCTTGCGGACATGCAATGGGAATGTGCACGGTTATCAAAAACTACAAAAATATTGCATGTACAGTTAATGAAGAAGTTATTTCATCAAATAGATAAGATTTTCACTCATGACACAAATCGACTGTGTGTCATCGCCATCGGGGATAATTGATAAATGGGATTAAATTGACCGCCAAGAAGGTGTAAAGAACCACCTCTGGTGAACCTTAACATTAATTAGTAATACTCACCAAAATTTCTCTATAATTAACGCTATTTTCTGTTGGAAAATTTCAGAAAGATGCTGATAAACTTATTTGGTGACACAGATTATTTTCTTGTTTTGGCGCGAAATATATTCTTACTCTTCATGCTTGACGTAACAAAATTTGTATAGAATTATATTTAACTAAAGCTCAGCGTAAATATGCAGAAGCATGACAATACATTAATGATAAAATGTGTAAATATTTCTGTAAAAGAATATAATTTTACTTTACCAGTATACTTCACTTAGAATTACATTTGAGCGCAAGAAAATCTCTATGTGAATCGGCTGAATCCCGGGGTCGAAGTTCAACATATCAACGGAAATTTTTGCGTGTGCTTGCGTTGCTTTAGATCGAGGCCACAGCTTTTCAACCAATCGGGGAATGTTTACTTGGGGCATACATCTATTTTTACTGCAGGTTTCGACATGTTTAAATAGGGATTATAGAAAAATGGAATGTTGTTGGTAGATACAAAACAGAAAATGATGAACACTTTTAGCAAAAGATAAATTGGATCGGGGGTCTGTGAATTCACATTATTTGTACAACTCTCCTTACTCTTGGGAAGCGTGTGCTTTACATCGAGGCTTGCAATGCTTTACATCGACGCCATAGTAGTTCAAACAATCGGGGAATGTTTATTTGGGGCATACATCTATTTTTACTGCAGGTTTTGGCATATTTTAATCGAAATTAGAGAAAAATGGAATGATGTTGGGAGATATAAAACAGAAAATGATAAATATTTTTAGCAAAAGATGAATTGGATCGGGGTTCTGTGTATTCACATTATTTGTACAACTCTCCTTACTGATGGCAAAAAAGGAATTTCCGTGACCTAAATGGTTCGGGAAAATTAATATTTTTATATATATATAGTAAATACAGTACTTGTAGGACATTCATACTCAAAGTCATAAACATCACATTTTGGGGAAGCTATTAAACCAAGAATTCCAAATGGTGAAGTTGAAATCATCTCTTTGTAAATTTTACAGACACCATCACGCGTTGGTTGACCGTTATGGAATAACCGTTTCACAGATGATATCGGATATGTTCCATACGTCGTTACTACAATCCTCTTCCCTTTTCATGAATGTGACCTACCTAATAAGACTATTTACCGGGTTTGAAATAACATA